CGCCTATCGCATTCTGCAATCACGTTCGGACTCAAGGTATTGTATTTCCTTAAACTTTCGGGGACAGTGGCCACTAGAAAAATCAAAGTAACGCACATCTGAAAGAGGCGTAACCTGTGCATGAAACCTATCACTGGTATGGTGCTCACACGACTTCGCGAGGGCCGTCTTCAGGAAAACAATTGCTATACCGCTTGTTACAACTTACGAGTGCTTCGACGAGAAGTTTAACAGCGTTTTTGAATAGCGTAGAGAATTTAGGCAGCATACCTCGCTTTCTCACGCATTAAAATATATAAAAACCGTATTCCATTAATCTGAAGCAGTTATGAAGTAATGTTCAGCCATTCTTATTTTACATGATTTTTTTTTCTACGGAGGTTACTACAGCTTCAAGCTCCTTACCTCTTCACATAATCAAATAATGGTTTAGATAACAAACAACATAGATAATAAAATTACCTTACGAGCCCTAAACGCATTCGTCAATTTCACTGAAATAAAACTCACACAGAACCAGAGCAACCTTTAAACCGACAGATATCCCTGATTACTGCACGTAGACGCTTTTATTTCAACCTACTAGAGTTGCGCCTAAATAAACGTCAAGAATGAAAAAAAAGCGACTGCGAAGACATGTCACGTTAATCTGTAAAAAACATCTCACGCCCTTGTCCGTGATAAAAGAAATAATACATTTTAACATGTCCTTGCGTAGCAGAGAGTAATAAAGGTCTTCTAAAGCTATACGTAACGTTTAGAACCACCGCGATTCATTTCTGTAATGAAATGAAATAGCGTCTAAGAGTTGGTGAGAGGTGGGGTAAAATGCGGAAAAAAAGCGTTTAAAATTGTTATATCTGTTTTTCTTTCTTTTCTTACGATTAGGCACTCATTCAGAAAGTTTACTTCGATTACAAGGTATGTGCTAGATAAATATTACCGGGTTGCGACTCTTCAAAGCATTGCTAAAAATGAATAACAAATGTTCCAGATGTCTCACTTTGCCCCTACCTGCGGGGCTAATATAAAATTTGTGTATGACAAAACGAAACAATTGAAAAAGATCATTTATCCAGATCTAGAAAGACATACAATTCACTCTGTGGGCCCTTACGCAGATCCGTTTTCTTAGACTCCACGTATTGAATCTAGACGGAAGCCGGTGTTGTGTTGCTTCGAAACTCCTTGCTCACAAAAAAACCGGCAGTCTTTATTTGTGCTAGCGCTGTCTTCTCTTTAATGCTTTCAACTCATCGAAATATTCAACGATTGGATTCTAGAGAATTTTTTACATCTCTTCCTCAATTCCTTTTGCTGTTTTCTCCTCAGGCGTTTCACGGCTTTTCATTTCGTTCGCCGGGCTTAGTGAGGCAATGAATTTAAAATTGTGTTAGACTCGGAGTTCTCGCATCTTTTTTTCAATATGACTATTGAAGAAAAAAAAAACGCTGTTAAAACTTACTTCCAAGCCGTGTTAGTGAACGACTTTACTTGAACAATCCGCCATTCATTAGGCGTCTCTTGAGAGCATCTTTGGTAGCTCGGAAAAACCTGGACGCAGCGTGAACGCCGGGAGTCGTGGTCATGCCCTGAACTGCGATCAATGGTTTTTCATGTCGTTTTTCTCTCAGGAAGCTCTACATGACATTTTTGTTTGTTCAAACCCTCCTAGATGAATAAATATAATATATTATCAGCGTAACCTAATCGATCGTAATAAGACACTCGCAAAGGTCTTTTTGTAGTGTTTTACCGCTCTCACTGGCAAGAAGACAGCTTTCTTTCTAAGCACCAAATGAGCTAAACTTTTGGTGTTAATTACCCTGTAGTCTACAGTAGCAACATAAATAGTTACGTCAGTAGGTTCATCCACGGATTCGCAAATTCGGCTGTGCAGGATGTCACTCCTTTTTGACAGGTCCCCAACACACTGACACCAGTCGCATAATCATTCCCGCGCGAACGTTCTGAGCAATTATCAACTTTTACACACGAAAAGGTTGACAAGAACAAGCAATTATTACTGGAAAATAAAATTAAAGAAAGGAGGTTTTCCTATGAACTGCAGAGGCTGGTACAGACAAAAATTTCTCGTTTTGCCCCATATCTCATTTTATCCCACTCAACTCTCGTATGAAGTGGATCTAAAAGACTCTAAGAGAATATTCAGTTGCGCAGATACCTAGATGAAAGGATTTGCCAGGTGACTTTGTCTAAAACTGCTTTAAAAGGAATCTAGTTTTATCTGCTTTCGCTGAAAAAAAAACAAGTATAAACTAAGGGAGGTTCTGGCGTCCGTGATGGTACAGGCTACTTTCTCATTGTTTTCTTCTAACTGAAGACCGACAGGGCATTGCCAAAGTACCGATCGTTTATGTTTTACCATCTAAGAATTCTGTTTCAAGACTATGCTTTTTATGAGAACATTCTGTCCGGGATAATTGCGAAGTAGATTCTTTTTATGAAAAACCTGCCCTGTGTTTTTTGTCTACACCTTATTTAACCGAAAGGTGTGATATTATCAGGAAGTTTGACTTCATGTTAGATCTTTTCATGCAAGCAGCATAGCTAGGCTTTAATTGACGCTGTTGTGACATTGCGAATTGCCACGGACGTAAAGAGTTGCAATATTACCAATTTTTGTAGCTGTCGCAGGAAGCATTAGGGTGGGAACGCTGAATACATGCCTTTGTGAAAATGTTGAATAAGTGGTGACCACATGTTCCACAGCCGGTTGCAGTGACAGGATGATAGTATAGTTAGGCTGCAATTGTTCTGAGTACCCTCAACGAAGAAGCAGGGCAAACTTGATTTTGAAGCTTTGCGGAGCTTCATAGTCAAGTTCGCCACATGTATTTTACCGTGCAGTGCGGTAAGAGGTGACGGTGCTCGCCGTGCAACATTTAAAGACATACTGGTGACATGGACGATAAGTATCGCACATCGCGTACTTGAAGACCACCCATGGTATGCTCTGGTCGTCACCACACAGCACCGTGAATGTGCGCTTTGAAGGCTCAAAGTTCTGGTTTGATGTAGCAAGTAAATAGCAAGTAAATAGCAACTACAAGTAAACCGCAAAACGCTTTCTGGTTACCACCATAACGCTCACTTTTTTCTGCACTCCTCACAATTTCCACTCCTAGTTAGGAGGTTTCTGATTCGCCTTTCGTTAGATACCGAGAAAGTGCACACATGCGTATCTTCATTTGAAATACTTGAAACTTGAACACAATCGTCAACAGAACAATTTAGGATGCGAAATCAAAGAGTTATAATGACCGAAAGTGAGATATGAATTGAGAATTCAACTGCATAAGCGAAAGTTGCCGGAGCGTGCCGTGCATGATAAAGCGAGCTTCATACGTCATATTCTGAGGTTCATTGTTGCTGTGCTTCATCGTCTTGACGTTATGTGTGGGCACAAGTTTAACGCATTTAGGTGTTACAGAACGCCCGTCTCAGTGTATGGCTCAAAATCGATATAATTCAGTGAACGCTTGCGCTTGCGAGTTGCGACACACCGAAAAAACTCTAACAACTTTTGAATTGCACCTGAAGTTTGCTTTTATCAGCTTTATACGTATTGAGGAGAGGCTGCATTGACGGAAATAGTTTTTAAGGTCACAAACGTTCAGTACACTGTGCCACATCACCAGCGAAAAAAGGGGGCATGCAAAATTGCAAGCGGATGTATCTTTCGCACTACAGAGTTGTGGTCATGGCAGCGATGAGAGCGCTGGTGGTGACGTTTTTCGCAGCACCACCAAGGCAGAGTCTCTTTTTTATTGGCTTGAGGTTGGGCCTAAAGTGGTACTTTCAGCCTAAGGCTAGCGTTTTGCCGTGATTATTTTCCATGACAGCTTTTCCTATGGCTAGCGGAAAAATGTGGCGCTAGAACAGTAGAAAATTCTGCGTCCTAAATGATTGAACTTTTCAAGCTTTCATCCTGCATAGACATTCCGCATGCAAGTTGGCTACCCTCACCCTGTCGGTGTAGATATGCTTATTGCAGCGATCGTCCCGCGAAGTAAAAATAACCTGATTTTTTTCGGTGTACTGTATACGTTTTCGTCACACAGTTCTGTAACGTCAAGAACACTGCTCGGGCTAAATCGAATATTTATTTATATTTTTCCATAATGCAGCTCCAAACACAGGCATTGTTATGTGGCAGAATGTCTCCTTATGAAGCATAACTATTTGCTTCTGGTGCCACTGGAACCAACGTATTATATTTGTTTCCTTGTATTTGCACAGATCTTGATATTTCACTCATTCATAACGGTATCTATGTAGCGAAGAACTAAGGATGTGGACGCCTACGCGCTGGCTTCTATGAACGCAGCACAGTAGCGTTAAAATCTAAACAACGGAGGCTCCACCAAAAGCTTTTGTCTCTTTTTTTTAAGCTAAGCTTTCATGACACTCATATTACCGCATCTGCCTCGGTGGCATCATACGCGAAGAACACGTAGTCAGTGGGCACTACACAAATGGGGCCTGAAGGTGCGCGTTCACTTCCGTATTTGTATCCGCTGTTGTCCAATAGTTGATGTTCTATTTCTATAGACCTTGACTGTCGTTCACTTGGTTAGTTGGTAGTTGATCGCTCATGAAGAATGTCATTTGATTGCTGCGTTTAATCGCTTCATGCATTACCACCATTATGGCTTGTATTAACAGAAGTGTCGCACTGTTAAGTAAGTGTGCAGTGTTAAAGTCAAATTCAAAGCCTTGTGAAAGAAAAAAAATTAGCAAAAAACATTTTGCAATGATCTAGAAAGACGAAAAAAAAAACTTTGGTCCTGCGTTCACAGACCAACCCCATTTTTCTGACAGGAAAAGGGTTTTGAATGTTTTCAAACGCACATTGCTTGAAGACGACAGTTTTCTGTTTCTCATCAATTACCTCATACCAGAGTTCAGTTAAACCCAAAGGTAAACGTTGCAAAAACAACCCGTAAATAAACACACTTGGATACACAACAATTCGCCCAAAACACTAAATCATTTTATTGCTACATATATTTCTGTGCGGCAATCCACTAAATGCCTGACTACCGTGCTGCATCAGGGAGAACGCATGTCGTCTCACATAAAGGCTTAGAGGCGAATGCGTTGCAGTTTAAGATTTCTGCATTTCTTTCACACCTATTGGTGCGCTTGTTGTAGAAAAATAGATTAGGACGTCGCCATCCAAACCTTAAACGGTGGTCGCAGTAGCAGGCTGCAAATACAAGTAGATAAATAAGAATGTGCAATATTAAAAGTACATAAACGTCACAAAATTCTCTGGTGATCTGACAAATTGAGCGATCCGATTTATTGCGAAATTCAAGTAGGTAGCTGTAACAATTGATATTACTAGCCATGAGTCAGGCGTATGAAAAGCTGACTCATTTTGTAACCTGAGTAGTTGTGTGCATCTGGCGGGCTTTCCAGCCACGCAATCTTCCACCTTGTCCGACAACCGGCAGCTTATACTGCGATGTAACGTCGGCACTTACGTTAAAGCCCTGACGCATCGCGCCCCATGGTACGCTGAGGTGTACATCATACTTAGCGCTAGTTGAAGGGTTCCCAGAGAAACGACTGAAACTGGACTGCACGGGGTCTCTTTTTAGACTGAACATACATATAAATCTTTTTTTTTTTTTTTGCAGTCACGCTCAAGTCGCTTTCGCACACGTATTCTATTCTTGATCACTGTTATTAGAGGAATTTTAAGGTGAACGTTCAGATGCATATAAGAGCAATTTTTTCGGCCCATTAGAGTAATTTTTTAGCCAGTGGAGATTTTAAGTCCATAACACAATTATCTAGCTTTGTTCAGCTTCTCTGTTAGTATTATCCTGCGTGTTAAGATATCAAAACTCTGCTTGTACAAAATCAGCAATTTTGTAGTTATATTTCTCAAATCAGACTGTTCGTGGATGATTGTGTGCTATTTCGTCAAGTTAGCTGTTCTAGTGATCAGCAGAACTTGAACTTGAGTCTTAATAACATACTAAACTGGTGTAATGACAATGGTATGGCATTCAATGCACAAAAAACTGTTTGTCTTTGTATAACTCGTTCAAAAACACCTCTACATTTTACTTATAACCTCGGCTCATCATCACTACAACAGGTTAACAACTACAAATATCTAGGCCTAACAATAACTAATGACCTCTCTTGGAACCTACACATAGACAACGTATGTTCTGCTGCCTTCCGTAAGCTGTGTTTTCTAAAACATAAGCTTAGAAATTCTCCTTCTGACATAAAAGTACTTTGCTACTTTACGTACATAAGACCAAAACTAGAATATTCTTGTGTTGTATGGGACCCCTTTACTAAATCTAATATAAAAAAACTAGAAGCAGTGCAAAGAAAGGCTGTAAGGTTTGTTTATTCCAAGTTTAAAATTACCGACTCGCCGACTGAACTTATGACTCCTAACAACATTGAAACACTTGAATTACGGCGAAAAAGGAACCGCCTTAACCTTCTGTATCTTCTTGTTAATTATAAGTTAGCCCTTGACCCGCGTGCTGCATCTCCTCTGTTTACTCCTGTATCTTTCCTGTTTACTAGGCATACACGTCATCATCACGCCCATTCTTTAACCCCGTATTTTGCTAAAACCAACGGGTTCCGATTTTCCTTTTTTGAGCGTACTGTATCAGAGTGGAACTGTCTAACTGATCTTAGCCAATTTTTTGTTGCTTAGAGCTAATCTACGCACTGTTAATTTTATGTTACGCATCCATAAAATGTAACATTTTTGACATGTTATGTGTTAGATTAGTCGGTGTTTCGATTCCATTTCTCGTGATATATTCCTATTTTTTCACATGCGTTTTTGTTTATATCCTGCCTCTTGTACCTTTCCTGCTTGGACCAGTTCTTGTTCTGCAGTATTCAATAAATAAATAAATAAAATAAAAATATTTGCGGCAGCACGCCCCGTGGACCGAAAAGTACAGCGGTCAAGTAATAGATGCAGATTTACGGCGAATCATTTTTAACGTGCACCACGCAAGAAGCCTAGTCAAGCGTTTAAAGCGTCGGCTTCAGTACAAAAAATACGACATATCTACAATGTTACATAGCACTGTTTTGCAAAGCGTATTGCGATATAGATACAAAATACCTAAATACTATAGAAGATAGTCTCTAAGATACATGTATCTTCGATACTGCCCTGCACTATAATCGTAGCAAAGGAAACATTCATGATTCCCTTCTAGAATACGTTGTTAGATGATACTATCAGTAACAGCTGCATCAATTGAGACATTCCTTTATATTAAGCCTTTCAAACACACCGAGAAAATACTACGCATTTCTACCCAATTCACCTTACGAAAAAAGTCATCTACTCGTAATATGGAAAGATAGCGCTTACCTCTGTGATACTGGCAATGACCAATGACTAGTCGCCTGTGACAAACTGGAAAATAATGCACGAAATGAAATTTAATATTCACTTTAGTGGCAATGAACACGCTCTGGTCGTTTCTATAGTATACATGTAGTTGTTAGAAAGAGCACTGACATTTTTCTATTTTTATGTGATAATATTGTGATTTGGACATCTATGTAGAACTGTGGGCATTATTCATACTCTTTATACTCTGGCTCGATGGTGAATAAAAAGAGTGTTAGAACATCAATGTCGGCTTACACTGTACGTGCTTCTCAAACAGCGCATATAATTCTAATAACACAAGCTACACCAAAAGTACACAACGTGGAGAACTATAGGCACATGTGTCAACCGTGCTCTATGGGTCTTTTTTTTCTAACTTTGTCGTTTCTGCTTGCATATCGAGTAACCGCAAATGAAATGTAGGTGATACAAACACAATGTTCTCTGAATAAACATGACAATTTGAAAGAACTTTCGTTCGTAAATGATCTATTGGAAAACCTTTCGTTCGCGTTTGATGTTCGAGCAGACCACTGTTCATACTTTCAATCGGATCTGTATTGCTGGCGCTGCTCGCTTAACCGGCTGTAAATGCATCTGCGTCTGCTCTTCCGAGTTGGTCTTCTCGTAACGTATTTGGTTGAGTGGTAGAATCCCTGAACTCACCACGGAACTCCGAAGCAGACGCTCGTTCGCGGCTTTCACATGACAGCTCAAGCTTTGACTACATCCTCTTACCCTGCCTGCCAACCCAGCAGCTAAAACAACTTTCGTGACACTTCCCGCCCTCAAAGACCTTGGCGTGTTCTCGAGCCACAACCGTTCCGACGTCGACAAACGACGACGCCTCTACGAACAAGTCAAAGCCACTTATAGGTAGGACCCCACGCTCAGGCTCGCGAACGTCATTTTTTACCTCGACTGTACCCAAACTCCCCTCCTGTTAGGTTTGCCACGATGGAGCATAACTCTACCAGCTGGAGCAGCTTTAAGGAACAGATCTGTGAGCTTTTTCGAAACTCATTTTGTCGTTGAGAAGCTGCGGAGACTGAGTTATCAACTCGCACACAAACTTCCACCCAACCCTACATGAGCTACATTCCGGATGTTTGCGCACTATGCCGCAAGGCCGGCGAGAACATGCCCGTGCTTTAAAAAGTTGTGCATATAATCAAAGGTATCGCGTACGATGCGTTTAACTTGTTGGTTTCAACAACGTGTCATTTGTTGATGCAATTATTCAAGAATGCCACCAGCTCCAACAAAGTAAAAGCAGGCGCATGTCCCATCAGTTACATCGCCTTCCGAATACCGCCGCGACATACTCGTGTCTCGACACATATCGTTCACCAGGCACCTGTGACAACTTGACGTGAATTGTCAGGTGGGAACTTCAACCGGCTGTTCCTGCTACGATGGCACCAACGTCCTCCAACCCATCCTATCAATCACGTTGCCCTTTATTCAAGCAGTCATCCGGTAAGAACTTGCCAGCCTGGGAATTTGCCCTATATCACGGCCTCCCCGTACCAACCTCCAGCCCCCATACACGCTTGCACGTCCGTTTCTGACCAGCTTTTCCTCAAGGCTCCGTAATCTGTCCACACAGCAAACACATGATGACAAGCAGATCTGCGTTTCGAGTCACCGAGTCGGGCACGATTCTCGCCATTGCGGAAGTCGCTAGGGTCCTCCTGCACAAGCTTCGCTTCGTGCCTTCCATTCTCACGCCACTTATTGTCTTGACCCCCGCCCCAACCATTTTGTCTAAGAACCAGCTTCTGAACCCAGCTACCCCCTTCGCCATCCCACAACGCCGTCAGTCTGACCACCAACCCGCCGTTGTCCAGACTGCCCCACAAACCACCCATCGCTCCCGCCCTACCACGAGGTTTCCCGATGAAAAACTAAGTGCTTTAGCCCCCAGAAGAGCCGCTGCATAACTCGTACTAACAAAAAAAAAAACCTCTCGACCATACAGATGAAGCGCGACCTTATCAACGTTAAAGTATACGGCATACATGTGACTGCTGTTCTCGACACAGGCCCTCAACTTTCCCTTATGAAGAGTGATTTTCTCTGCAAGCTCAAGAAGGTTCTCACACCCGTTATCACTGGTCATCCGTGTTGCGATGGCGGAAGAGTTTCTATCGTTGGAATCGGCTCCACTTGTGTCTGATTCACTGAACGACACACAGTTGTTCTTTTTTCCGTCCTTGACAAATGTCTTCATGGACTGTTCGACCAGAATGCTCCATGTACACTTGCCCGCAACAGAAGCGCTTGCACAACGGGACTTGTGCGCCCCCCCCTCCCCCACAGAAACACTGACGTACGTAGAGCTCATCTCAATACCACCAGTTCCCAACGGTGGCTGTGTTCTGCCTACTACCACCGATGTCCTCATCGACTAGGGCATTAAATTACCTCACAACATTCTGTCCGTCGCAGAGAACTAGTCCATGTTCCCCCAGTTGTCAACTTCAGTTTGACACCTCAAGTCTTGCCACAGGGAATCACTTTGGCGTTGATCTGTACCTTAGACAACAACGCGGTGGATGTTTTCACAACGGCTGGTTCTTTTGACGTGCATGGTCAACATCAATTTGGCACGTCCTCCGACAGCACTTTTGGTCGGTGATTGCTTCGAACTTAACGTCGCAGCAGACTACCGAGCATCACCATACTCTGGTGTTCTAAATCGACGTTTTTACTTCAGCGGTCATCCATTGGTGAAAGCTACTTATGTGACCCAACGCATAAACACTAGTAATGAGCATCCTATTCATAGGCGTCCATATCGGGAGTCTGTGGTCGAGCGTCACAGTATTCAAAGGTTGGTCGACAAAACTCTCACCAAGCGCATCATGGAGCCATCCTGCAGTCTTTCGGCTTCTCCTTTTGCGCTACTTTGCATGAAAGACAGCGCATGGCGTTTTTGGGTCAATTATTCACACCGAAACAAAATTATTAAAAAAGATGTGTATCCTATACCACGAATACGTGATGTCTTTGAATACCTCTATGTGTCCCGCTATTTTTTATTCATAGAGCTTCGTTCCGGCTACTGGCAAATTAAGGTAGATGAAGTGGACCATGAAATGACAACATTCATCACTCCCGAATACCTATATAACTTCAAGGTCATGCCCTGTGTCCTTTATAACGCTCCCGCCCCCGTTGAAAGAATGATAGACTCACTGCTCAGAATATTCAAGTCATCCACCTGCGTGTGCTACTGGGACGACGCGTCGCTTTTTCACCAGCGTTTGAAATTCCTATACAGCGCCTCTCAGACGTCTTAGGCATTTTCCGTCGCACTGGTCCGCAGCTCAACTCGTTGAAATGTCACTTCGGGTGCCACCAATTCGCAGTATTGGGCCGTATAATAAGCGCAAATGGTGTACAGCGTCATCCAGCCAAAATCAGTGCCATCAAAAACTTCCCTCTCCCACAATCTGCGAAGGTTGTACGCAGCTTTATTGAACTTCCAACGCTCGTTAAAAAATTTGTGCCCATAGCGAGGGCTCATACGCAGCTTCGGAAGCAATACGTCTTGTTTTCATGTGACTCCCAAGAGGCTTCAGCGTTGTCTACTTTCATAGCTCTTTTCACTTCTCGTCCAATTCTGGCGCACTTCAACCCTTCTGTCCCTACGGAAATTCATACAGATTCAAGTCGACATGGCATTAGCGCAGGGCTGGCTCAACAACAATGTGACGATGGTTGCGTTATTACATGCGCCAGCCGCCTCCTATCTGCCCCTGAAAAAAAATGGTTTCATTACAGAGTGTGAGTGCTTGGCTCTCGTTCGGGCAGTGTCAAAATTTCAGCCTTATCTGTACGGACGTTCATTTTTGGTAGTTGCCGACGGTCACGTGCTCTACTGGCTGAAATCTTTAAAAGATCCCTCAGCGTGCCTTCGACGCTAGGCTTTGCACCTGCGATAGTTTTATTGTTCAGTGGTCTACAAATCCGGCCGTTTGCACCTGATAATAATTGCCTTCCTCGGTACCCTGTTGACAATGCTGAGGACACACACGCAACCACAGATCACTCCATCTTGCCAATGTCCGACTTTCTTCACCTTGGGGAAGACTAGAAATGAGATACACTGCTTCTTGACATTATCAGTCATACAGAATATTCTTTAAATGACTCCTCCGTCTGCTATATTGTTTTTATGAAAGGCGGCTATGTCGCCGCACTTTTCTACCTGACGGGCCCGACCTCACTGTCACACCTAAACATTTGAAGCACTGTGTCCTCGCCGAGCTTCATGACGCTCCCACAACTGGACACCTTGGCGTGCCTCTCACGTACAATAAGGGCACGTATGGCAGGCACCGTTTTCTTCTGACCAGGCCTCGCTCGCTCGACACGTCAATACGTCGGCACGTGTGAGTTATGCTAATGTCATAAAACACCCTCACTGCTACCTGCTGGCCATTTTCAACCGATTGACCTACCTTCGTAACCATTTTACCATGCTTGGTTAGACTTGATTTTTCCCTCATTAACATAGAAAAACAAATGGATAGCCGTGATCAGAGGTCACGCTACACGCTACGCCATTACTCGAGCTCTTCCGAGAAGCTGTGCAAGCGACGTCACTGAATTTTCCTTACAGGACGTTATAGTGCTTCACGGTGCCCCGAGAGAACTCCTCACAGACCGTCGTCATACATTTCTACTCCAAGTTGTCACCGATGTCCTGCGTTCTTGTTCCACGCAACACACATTGGCCACCGCTTACCGCTCTCAAGCCGATAGCCTCTACCAAATGTGCCTCGTACTGTAACAAATGTGCTCGCTTATATACGTGTCGCCTGACCACCGAGCCTGAAACCTTGCCTTACCTTACGCAACTTTCGCATATAAGTGATGTCATCATAACACAGTGAACTTTTCGCCGTTATACTTTTTTTACGGAAGAGAGCCGACTTTACTACTGGATTCAGTCTTCTCAGCTTATACCTCGTCCACCAGCGAGTATGCCAGCGACGCGATCGCGGAGCCTATCATGCCAGTCAGCTCACCCGCACTCGACTGATCGCGTCGCAGACCAAACAAAAGCATCAGTATGATGCGGAACATCGACACGTACATTTCGTTCCCGGTACCCTCCCCTTTTTCTGGTCTCCTCACCGTCAGGTGGGCCTACAATAAAAAAATGTCAGATCCCACGTACACGGTCATCCTTTATGAAAAGGAACACGCGAACGAGTGGACTGCGCTCTGCGGCGGCTGCTTACAGCATGATCAACCGACAGCAAAAGGGAACATGTTCACTTTCAGCGTCATCTCTTGCCGAAAAAAATAATAACGAGTTATGGCCAATAGAAAAGCGCCGCTAGATTGCACTCTCTCTCTCTGCTCAGGCCTGCAGTGCGTAGTCCACTGCCAACATATCAAACGTTGTTCGCGATCACAGCACAAGCTGCAGTAAACACCCGATATCACTCGAGTGATTAGGGAACGCAACGAGCGATTAGGGAACGTAATCTAGCAGCGCTTGTCTACCAGCCATAACTCGTTATCTTGCTTGGCCATACATAACGCGAAAAGTGAACGTGCTTTCTTCACTTGTCGGTTGATGGTGCTGCAGGCAGCCACCGCAGAGCGCCGGCCACATGTTCGCGTGTTCTCTTTCATAAAAAAACGACAGTGTACAGTGGAAATTGATGATATGCGAAACCCGAATGATAAATGTAGGTGTCCTACTTTAAAATTAGCACAACATTACGAGGTGGAGGTAAACGATGCCGTAAATCACTTCCGTGCAGGATTATCATGTTTGGATGTGTCGTTTACCTTCGTCATCCATTCGCGTCCCGTGATACCAAATTTACCATATGTGGAGCTTGCGAAACGGCCAAGAGCATTCTATGAGATTGGTATGTTGTCATGTGCTTACTTGACACGTGTGTCAGTATTATTATGTTTGCACCAGTCATATATCTCGTGTTTGATGACGTCACGTAACACCAAATTTGGTATATGTGGAGCTTGCAAAACAACCACGAGCGCATCATGAAGGGCGAAATACACTTCAATGTAGTGTTGACGCGCGTGCACACTGGGCACAGCGACGCTACGTCAGCAAAACGCGAGCACTCTATAGCCGGACGCCAGGCGCAACCAGGGTCCATCGGCGTGGCCCGACGGCAACCGGCGCGAAATGCGACGTGCAGTATTTTGCGCGATGTGTTACCCAGAAAACATTGCGTTTCCTCTTTTCGTAATAAAGGGACGCTAGTCACGCTGAAACACACATGCGTCAAAGCAACAAAGCCCTCAGCGCGCCTCCTAGTATATAGAAGGCCCGGCACCTGGCATGGCTACTCCAGCGTGACGCGACGAAATGAACGCCAGCGAGCACGCGCACTACGTCACGTCAAAATGTATTGGCGCCTTGACTGTGGAATGTAGTCATGCTGTCACATGACACGCATCTCATGATTATCGTGTTTGCGCCAGTCACATGCCTTCGTTATCTGTTCACGAGACGTAACACCAAATTTGGCATATGTGAAGGTATCTAAACGGCCGCAAGCGCATCATCAGTGTAGCATGTAGTCACGTTGTTACATAACAAGCATGTCATGATTGTCATGGTTGGACGTGTCATTTACCTATGTAGTCCGTTCGCGTCACCTAATACCAAATTTGGTACATGTGAAACTAGCTAATTAGCCACGAGCGCATCATAAGCGTAGCATGTAGCATTCATGTTACATGATGCGCATCTCATGAGTATCATGTTTGAACGTGCCATTTACCTATGTCGTCTGTGCACGTCGCGTCATGCCGAATTTCTTAAAGGTACAGCTAGCGAAACGGCCGCGAGCGCATCATGAGCGTGGCATGTAGTCATGTTGTTACACGACAGGCATCTCATGTTTATCATGTTCGTTTGCACCAGTATAATGCCTTCATAATCTATTGACATACTGTAATACAAAATTTGGCATATGTGAGGCTTGAGAAAAGGCCACGAGTGCATCATGAGCATGGTAAGTAGTCATGTTGTTTCATGACACGCATGTCATGATTTTCATGTTAGGGTCTGTCGCTTGTATTCGACATGCAATCATGTGATACCATACCAGTTTTGATACATGCCATGTGAACGAAACCACCGCATGATCTGCAGGACCATGAAATGTAAATCATGGCATTCATGACATACATGTCTTGATTATCATGTTATAACAAGTCGCATATGTTCTTCAAACAGTCATGTTATGCCATACTAAGTTTTATATCGATACCATTACCGAAATGGCCACGAGTTCTAAAAGTCGTAGGTGGCTAGATATATAAACAGATAGATAGATAGATAGATTATGCTCAACGTCACCGAAGTTCACTAAGAAATCTTTCTCATTCAAAACTTTTGAGTTTTTACACGGGACCTTACCGTGTTCTGCGTCTTGTAACACCTGTAACCTATGAAATCAGTCTCATCTATGCATGATCACCAACTGTGCGGTCCAGTGATACTGCCCACGCCTCGTGGATCAAGCCCTACAAGAGTGCGTCAGATGACTGTGCCTCCGCCGCCGGGTGTCATGTTACTTACCAGTGGCATAGAGATGAAGAAGAAAAGAAGATAGACTGGCGTGATGTAATGTGTATCACTGGCGCTACTCGCCTAACCGTCTTTAAATACATCTGTACGTGCTCTTCCGGTCGGACTCCTTCTCGAAACAATATATACGGATGAATGCATACATACTACACAATGTGTTAAGCACTTCATATGCTTCCCATTGGCTAAAAATAATAAGAAAATATAAGATTGAAACAAGCGTATTCTCACATTGTGGCAGTCGCAATGCATCTGTTGCTTCAAAATAGAGCAAAGATATACAGGCCATTATGACAGACAGCGTATGTATAGAAGCCATTCCAGCCTTTAATGTCTTTCTACAAAGCCTAGCGACTGTGTAATAATGAGCTATTTCTATATAATTTCGGTTTTCATAGCATGCAGCAATACAGAAGATTTATCAATGCCGAGGAACTCATTGTTGCGCACTCGCTTTGACGACAAAAGCTTTCGCAATGGAATGTTAAAGGGCATACGTTCGTGTTCGTTGCGGTTATCAGCTCAAGAGTGTGCATTATTAAAGAATGTGCTAGAATAAAAATAGCTTATATATTGCTACGAAGTGTCCCTGCAAGAGAAAACATGTAGAAGCGAGAGAAGAGGCAGGAGAAGGATGAGGACGCTGCTTCTGCAATCACCGTCTTCTCTAATGTCTGCGTTCTCATTAAACTGTTCTTGAACGAATACAAACACTTTGTCGCTGATAACGTTGCGCTCTCAAGATGGCATTGTGCAAGGATTCAGTCATGTCGGGTGCGTCGACTATGTTTTCATTTTATTGCGTACTTGAGATGCTGCAAATGAGTCATTTTGATAGCATTTGTAATGTCGAATGTTCAGCGTGCTTGGAGAGAACGTCGTGGTGAGGGTGATGCTCACTTTGGCATACTGAATGGTTATTAACTTGTATGAGTTGTGAAACCCCTGAACGTTGAGAAGCTGCATGTCCGTTCTTGCCGGCAGCGTCAAGATGGGCAATCAGCGTCGTAACAATGCGGGTTTACTATACAGCCTTCATTGCTCCAGGCATTACACTGTGAGCTTCATTAAACTGTTGATTTCCCACAGACGTGTGCGTCTGTTAACAACAGACACCATAAAATAGGGAATTACAATGTTCTTCACACGGGCCAAATAAAAAAAGGTTGAGTGTGGTGTCCAACGTGACAACGTCGCTACTAAAACATTGCACTAGCACACACTTGGCAGAGAAGGCACGAGCGACCATGTTCTAGAATACGACATAGTCGTAATCATCATGGCATAATATTTCTAGATGGGCACCACAGAAACAGCCCTTCAGGGAAAGGTACACGGTTCGACGATCAACTGTTGCTCTGCACTACCGATAAAAGGAATTCCTAGAACAATGACATGCGTTTCTCGCACAATAGCAGCAGGTTTCTGGGAAACGCTTTGCTGTAGAACAAAATATTAGCTGTAAAAACTGCCACAGGACACAACGAGACAAAACGCGTCAGCACTCAAAGCAGGGAATGTCACTACAAGGCTCAAAAGAAACACCTTAGGCCAAAGAGTACCTTAAAAGAAAAATTAATCCCACAAATAGTCATGCCCATATCTAAAATGGTCATTGTATCTAGAAGGACCATGGTAATTGCGCCTCATTCGAAGCGGTCGTTTCTGTGACTGAAGGTTGTGTCACTCGACGCCTTACCATCCACAAGCGAAGGGGCCTACAGAGTGCACCAAGTACGACGTTATCAACATGTGGTCTACGTTTGTCTTATCCAAACATACAAACTCGATGCCGTACTACTTTTTATTTGATACCCATTCATTACAGTGAAGCACGAGACTACATGCTATAGCCCACTTCTTACTTTAAGCAGGAGCCCCCCCCCCCCCGGGGGGGCACACAATCGACAGTGTTTTCTTTTCCTATGATGAAAAAAAGAAATGTCACAGTCGCTGAAACTATCTGTGTTGTTGAAGAGGCGCATCATATATCTGCATTACGCACCTTCGCATGTTAACACAGAGCGAAAGCACGCTACCCCTTCGCCACCTATACCAGTAACCTATCGACCAGGTGATTTATTCTGGTTGTAATGTCCTGCAAGGAAATGCGTCTTATGCCAAAAGCCACTTATGATGGAGCATTTTTTATTAACACAAGATTCACATAGGTCACATACACCATAGTACGTCTTACGGTGAGTGATAGACCAGCTGGCAAAACCGAAGCTGTCTATGTCGCCCGCCTAAAATTGTTCAGGCTGAGACACGTTTACCGACTGGCCTTACGGTCTTCGTCTGCAGGGAGAGGAATGTTGCAGCTAAAGTGAAAACAAACGAAGGTTGGTGCAGGTGCCTCCCCCCAGGCAATTCGAAGGAAGAAAACAACGCTGGTAGATCCAACCTGTTGACCTCTCCTGCCCTCCCCTCCACGACCTACTACAAACAGCCTCCTGAGTAGTATGCGTCCTCCAGTGCACGTGCTTGATCCCCGAGACAGCTAAAGAAAAAAGACGACGACGCTCATAGATAAAAGATTTCGGCTGCTCCTGCGCTCACCTCTGCGACTTAACAAACGGACTCCTCAATCGTATACGTCCTCCTCTTCTGTCTCACCATCCGCATTACGTCTTGTGCGTATCGTCTGGACTCCTGGACACGCCTCTCTCCATGGTAATGAACGCGTTCATGCGGTTGCCCGAGAGCTGACTGGCCGGGCTCCATTGGAAGAGCTGTCCAATCAAGACGACGCATCGACAAAACCACTAAACTACAACGCTACGCTGCAGTACTATCGACAGAGCCGTTATACGTATCCTCCCCCTCATCCTTCACTTAACAGAGCAGATGCTGTCGCTTGGCGGCAACTACAGACCAATTCATTTCCTTGCCTTTATATGCTAAATCGCTTTCATGCGACTCTACCCCTCCTACTGCCCCTTCTGTGGATCCGTACCAACGGTGTGCCACTCCACGTGGTAATGCTCTGCCCCACAGGGCGTGCCTCCCATTCCCAATCCCACCCCTTCCTCTTGAAAGCCTGCACTGCTCAACTTACGCCAGCAGGAACAGCAGCAGCTGGTCCAGCGGGCTCGCAGGGTCGCGCAAGGCAATGGAGCCCTGGACTGAGGGCCCCACCCAAAGAAGGCTCAGTGTACATTTGTTATTAATAAATGTTCATTCTCTCTCTCTTTCTCCTCCGATGCACGTGCTTGATCCCCGAGGGAGCTAAAAGGAAGAATAAGGTGCTGATCGATCCAAACTTTAGGCTGCTCCTGCGCATATCTTCTCGACCTAATTAAAGGCCTCCTCAATTGTATACGTACTCCTGCACGTGCTTGCTCTCCGAGGCAGTTACAAGGAGGACGATTATCCTGATAGATCCAACCTGTCATCAGCTCCTGCGCTTGCCTTCGCGACCTAATAAATGGCCTCCTCAATCGTATACGTCCTCCTGCACGTGCTTGTTTCCCGAGGCAATTAAAGGAGGACGATTGTCCTGATATATCCAACCTGTCCTCCGCTCCTGCGCTCACCTTCGCGACCTAATAAACGGCCTCCTCAAAAGTATACGTCCTCCTGCACGTGATTCTCCCCCGAGGCAAATAAAATGAGGACGATTATCCTGATAGATACAACCTGTCATCCGCTCCTGCACTCACCTTCGCGACCTAATGAATGGCCTTCTCAATCGTATACGTCCCCCGTCACGTGCTTGCTCTCCGAGGCAGTTGCAAGGAGGACAATTATCCTGATAGATCCAATCTTTCATCAGCTCGTGCGCTCACTTTGGCAACTTAACAAACGGCCTCGTGAATCGTATACGTCCTCCTGCACGTGCTTGTTCCCCGAGGCAATTAAAAGAAGGACGATTATCCTGATAGATCCAACCTGTCATCCACTCCTCCGCTCACCTTCTCGACCTAATAAACGGCCTCTTCAATCGTATACGTCCTCCTGCACGTGCTTGCTTTCCGAGGCAGCTACTAGAAGGACGAATATCCTGATAGATCCAACCTGTCATAAGTTCCTGCACTCACCCTCGCGACCAAATAAACGGCCTCTTCGATCGTATACGTCCTCCTGCACGTGCTCGCTCTCCGAGGCAGTTACAAGGAGGACAATTATACTTATAGATCCAACCTGTCATCAGCTCCTGCGCTCACCTTCGAGACGTGATAAACGGCCTCCTCGATCGTATACGCTCTCCTGTACGTGATTGTTTCCCGAGGCAGTTAAAAGGAGGGCGATTATCCTGATAGATCCAAGCAGTCACCCGTTCCTGCGCTCTCGTTCCCGACTTTATAAACGGCCTCCTCAATCATACACGTCCTCTTGTACGTGGTGGTTCCCCGAGGCGGTTAAAAGAAGGATGATTGTCCTGATATATTCAACATGTCGTCCTCTCCTGCGCTGTTCTTTGCGACCTAATAAACGGCCTCCTCAATCGTACGCGTCCACCGACACATGCTATTCCCCAAAGCAGTTAAAAGAAGGACGAATTTCCTGATAGATCCAACCTGTCATCCGCTCCTGCACTCACCTTCGCGTGACCTAAAAAACGGTCTCTTCAGTCGTACACGTCCTCTTGCACGAGCTTGTTCCCCGAGACAGCTAAATGGCAGAATATGAAGCTGATGAATCCAACATGTTGGCCGGTCCTGCGCTCACCTTGGTGACCTGATAAATGACCTCCTAATTTATGTATGCCCTGCCCTTCACGCGTAACAATAATATCAGAGAGTTCTAACCTAAATAACCTTCTCTGGTCGCAGAACCCTCTGCATGATACCTTGAAAGATTTACGTTACGAAGTTTAGTAATCACTATCGTATCGCTACCCAGCGAGTACACAACGGGTGCAGTAAAGCGCGAAAAGCGGAGGGGAATGAGCTGAGTCTTGGCCATAAGGTCACATCGCTGTGAAATCAGTGACGCCAGTGTTCGTTCTCGGGGCTAATAACCAACTACAGATTGTTACGCCGTATATTGTTTTCGGAAGTGCGGCCCGGCGCACACGCAGCAGATTGCGGCGTGTGTTGCCTCCAAGCAATCTTTTTTCCTGGTAACCATTTTAACATCAATTATGGGAGAGCCAGCTGTTCTTTTTTGCCCGTAGCAAAATGCACCTTGCTGCTTATTTACTGTGCCGCAACAGATGACATAAAATTTATACAGTTTTATGAGCTACTGAGCCACCAGTGTGATACTCAAAGAGGTGGTGACTTGCCCTATAAACTGTGAACCTGATATGGCACTTGCGTAAATTTATTAATAAGTTTACATGACTTACGTAACTGAAACATACACAGCAATAAATAAAAACAAACCCTGGACACATTCA